CTGGCTGACGGCACCCTGAGGAGACCCTCTCTGTGGGAGCGTATCGGCCGGTGGGAGGTAATCTAGGTACGTGGTGGTCAACCTTAGCACATGTGCCAGACCGGGCACGCAGAGCCCTATCTGTTGGCATGCGCGCCAGAGGGATGTTCCCCTCCCCCTCTCCTTGTGCGCCTGACTAGTGGGAACTGGAGTTGGCAGGGAAACCAAATCCAGCAGCGCTCTCACAGGAACAGCTGCAAGAGCTGGGCGGGGAGAGGGAACCCTTAAAAAGGAGCAGGTTTTGGGGGGAGTGTAGCGAGAGAGAGAGAGAGAGCAAGCGAGCAGACGGCATTTGGAAGCAACGGTGCAATGAATGAGCAGCAGCAGTTTGGAGAAAGGGCGAGTGAGCGAAGCAGCATGAGTTTGCCCTTTGGAGAAGGCCTGTGGGGGAAAGAGGATACATGAGGTTGCACTTTTGAGAAGGCAGGTGTCCATTTGCGCTTTGCAGAAGGCTCGTGGGGAGCAGGGGGAGGAGGACACCTGTGGTTGCGCTTTGGAAAAGGCAGGTGGGACGTGACATCCGTTTGTGCTTTGAAGAAGGCTCACAGAGGGGCAGGGGAAGGATGACATGTGTGGTTGTGCTTTGGAGAAGGCAGATGAGACATGGCGTCCGTTTGTGCTTTGCAGAAGGCTCGTGGGGGCGGGGGAGGAGGACATGTGTGGTTGCGCTTTGTAGAAAGGGAGAGAGAGAGAGGAAGGAAGGAGGGAAAGGGGAAGGAAGGAGATGGGAATGGGAAAGGGATGCAGGCAAGGAAGGAGGGGAGGGGGAAGGAAGGAAGGAAGGAAAGAAGGGAGATGGGAATGAGAAGGAGGGAGGCACATGACCCTGGGGATGCTGCAATGGTCATAAGTGAAAAATGGTCATAAGCCACTTTATTCAGCGCCTTTGTAATTTCGAACAGTCACTAAGTGAACTGTTGTAAGTGGAGGACTACTGTACTTTATCACTTTTTTCCTTTTTGGGGGGTTATCATCAAGTTTTTGACACCTTGCTAGGCAATTGGAAAAGCCCTGAGTCTTCTTGCAGGTATGTAGAATGGCGTGGGACCCACAGGTTTAGCAAAGTGAAGAGAGGAAGTTGGTTACAGCTTATTAGGAAAGATAAAACAGACAACCAAGAATGCTTTACTGACCATTCTTCGTCCAGATTTTATATCAGTTGCATCTGCTAATACAGGCGTTCTGCTTCAGATTTCTGTTATTTTCAGCATCTGGTAAAATGAATGAGTACTTTTCCAACAACCTGTAAAACCCAAGACACTGTGCTTTCATTGTTTAATTCCCCCCTCCTAGATTGTTGATTCAAGGAATATCCATTTCTTTAGTGTTAACTAACAGTGTTAGTTATTTAGGGATAGATTTGTATTGGTTGCTTCATTTTTTTTTTAATTTTGTGCTTTTGTAGACTCCAAGTCTTGTACACCAAAAATGACTACAGCAAAGAAAGCAAAACAGATAGTGGAAGTTCATTCCAAGAGGCCTGGACAGAGTCATTTGGAGTGATTGAGCGCAGTGGGAAAGCTTGTGTTCTATGCAACGAAAGTGCTGTGTGTTGCACATCAAGTGTCAGGCGGCACTTTGACATCAACCACAAAAATGTTGCCCAAATTGGTGATACTGAAAGAAAAGAGTTTCTTAAAGGGAAATTGAGGAACTATCATTCCCAGCACCTTAGTTTTTCCAACTATCTTTCTAGAACAAATCATCTGACAGCTGCCAATTTTAAAATTTCACTGTGCATAGCAAAACATGGTAAGTCCTTCTCTGATGGGGATATTATCAAAATGGCCATGTTGTTTGGCAGTGACTCTCTTTTTCATGATTTCCCAAACAAGGATAAAATTATTCAGTGCCTCTCTGAGATACCACTTAGCAGATATACTGTTAAAGATCGAGTCCAGTGCATGGCAAGTGATGTTAGTCAGCAGCTCACCACTGACTTACAAAAGGTAGCCTGTTACTCCGTGTGCTTGGACGAAAGCACAAATATAAAAAATCATGGAAGGCTAGCAGTAATTTTGCTTTATGCTGTTGGTGACATCATGAGAGAAGAGCTGATGAAACTGATGTTTTTGCCTGAAAGAACACAAAGTGTAGATATCTACAATGCTGTGAAGGAGGCTTTTTTGTCACAAGACATAAGGCCAGAAAAAGTAGTTTCAATTACTAGTGATGGAGCACCTTCTATGGTGGGGGCAACATCTGGTTTCATACAGTTGTTTGTTAAAGAAACAAAACATCAAGTCATTCAGTTCCATTATATTATACATCAGGAAGCTTTTTGTCGCAGGGAAAGCAACAAAAAAAAATTGACGATGTCCTCAAAGATGTCACAAAAATAGTGAATTACATCATGGCTTGTGCTCTGAATTGTCGACAGTTTCAAGCATTTCTTGAGAAGGTTCAGGCACAATATAATTGTTTATTTATGTACAATAATGTCCGGTAGCTGAGCAGAGGATGAGTCCTGGAGAGATTTGTAGCCTGGTTGGATGAAATTAGGCTGTTTATGAACGAAAAAGGGCAAGAATATACACAGCTCACTGATATGACCTGGCTTACCAACCTCATGTTTTTTACAGATTTTACACTACACTTCAATGTACTGAACAAACAATTACAAGGTATAGGGAAAACAGCAGAAAGGATGTTTTGTGATATCAAAACATATGAGATAAAATTGCAGGTTTTTTTAAAGAGACCTTGAAAGTGGGCAGCTGAAATATTTTCCAAATCTAAAAATGCATTTAGAAAATTCTACATTTGCAGACAGTCCTACAAGCCATCAGGAAATCTACAAGGAATTTTCTAGCATTGTAGCAACTGCAAAGGTGAATTTTAGTAACAGATTTTTAGAGTTCCATAAGATGGAGACAACCCTGTGTTTTCTTATTTCTCCAGTGTTGGGAGGAATTCCCCCATTCAGGCTCTTCCAGCTGGGATTCTCCCAAGCAGCGCAGAGGAGAACAAATAGAACATGAAGCCAGCTACTGGAAAGAGAGGTTCAATCAGGTTCAATCAAACAGCCCACCTCCTCATGCTCTTCCTCCTGTCCAAGGCTTTCATTGTCATGAGCATTTCTGTTGAGGATTGGCGGGGGAGGGGCTGTTTGGTTTTTATTCCCCTCCCATCTGCTGGGTGGTTGCAGCAGGTTTTGGTCTCTTCTGTCATGCTTTCAGATTACCCACGAAGCACGTTTGTTTTCAGGGGGGGATCCCCACTCTGGTTGCTAAGCTTGCTTAAACCCTCTTCCTCCACCTCCTCTTACTCACCGGAGCCCTCCTTTGTCTGCAACCAGCCCCTGCCCTGGCCCCTACCTCACCTTGCCTTGCCCCCTCCCTTACCTCACCTCACCCTGAAGGATGAGCCTCCTGCCCATTGCCCCACCCAAACCCCCCTGGATCTCCCCCAACCCTGCCCGGCCCCCACAGGCATTCCTCCCCAGGAGCAACATCGAGGTGGCCATGCCCACCCTGGCCATGCCCATCCAGTCTGCCATGCCCATCATAGCCATGCCCAGCCAGTGGGCCACGCCCACCCAGCACCCGGTGATACATAAGTGGGTTTTGGCTTGCAGTTTGGGCACCCGATCTCTAAAAGGAATCCCATCACTGCATTAGAGTATCTCATATAGGCTTAAGCTACCTGTGATGACCCAGGACCCCGCACAGAGGCAAAGCAGTCAGCTGGCAAGTCCTTTAATAACTGCCAATGTTCCCCAAAAGCTGCAGTCTGTGAGGAGAGACTCAGAAATGCAGTCTGCGGTCGTAAAACAGGAAACCAGCCAGTCCGTTATTCAAGATGTCCAGGTTAAACAAAGACAAGAGCACAATTCACAATTGTCCCAAGATACCATGTTTGTTCCCAGCAAATGCCCCACCCCACAGCGGCTCCTTAAATCTTAATCCACAGGTGTGCCTTGTGGAGTGAGGCGGGCCGCTCTCCTCCCGAGCAATTGAGCCTGCCTACGTTGTTCTCTCCTCCTCTCTGCTCTCCTTGCTCTAGGATCAGGTGGGGGGGCTTGCTCCTTGCCTTAATTCTGCCTCCCCTGTTCCAAACCTGAAGGGCCCTGGCCTGCTCTTCCCCACAGTCCTCTGAAGCCGCAGGGCCTCAACAGGGTCCTGCTCCAGCTCCATGTCTCCTCGAATTCAGGCTAGGACGAAGGCATGACACTATCTGTATGAGATACTTCTACCTAAGAATGCTCCAGAGTTTAATTCAGTTTGAACTTCAGATTTAACTTGAATCAGATTTCATCTGATTTATACTTCTCAGATGAATGAGCAGAAAAGAATGAAAGCACACTTCAGTTGTGCTTTGAATATCATGTTTCTCTGATTGTTGCAATATAGTTCTCACTTTAAAAAAACAGTCTAAAGTATTTGTGGAAGTGGATGTTATGATCATGTTTGATAGGGTGAAGATTATAATATCCCCCTTTTTTCTCCTCAAGGTGGGATACAAAAACTTTGATGAAGATCCTCCCATTTTTTTACCCATTCAATTAGAGGTCTATGTGGTAGAGTAAGCTGAGAAAAAGTGGCCGAAATCATCCAGTGAGCATCAAGATCAAATGGTAATTTGAATCCAGGCCTCTCTTATCCAAGATGGATTGCTAGATTACACTGATATTAAAATATATTTTAAAATAATAATATACAAAGGTGTATTTGAGAGGATCTGAGTTTAGAAATGAATTCTTTTGGAAAAAAATGTTAGACATGTGCACGAACATGTATTGGTATGAATTTTAACAATATATTGATGCTTTGAGACTCCTTTGATATAGTTTCTCCTACATTGGACACAAAGCAAGATATGGAATGGTACTGGAGGAAAAAGAGTTAACCTTCCCCAATACTTTCTCGAGAATAAGCTTCATTCCAAAACAAATGTATCCTGTGGCAAGAGAAAGTAGCAACATTTTATTATTTCAAAAAAAATTCCCAATTAGTATATTAAACAGACATCTCAAGAACACACAAATTAAGAAGCAATAATATTCTGGCCATAAATCTTTCCTTCTTGAGCAAAATCAAAACATGAATGGCTGCACTTTCAAAGCTGTTCAGGAAACACTGCTATGCTCCTCTTTAAACCTTCTTTCAGAGTTTTCTTTTCTTTTCTAAAATGGAGCAGTAGATCTCCTCAGTCATGGGTATGTAGTTCTTTTCTGAGTCATCCAGGAAGAAGAAGGGATCGTTGATGTTGGCAGGATTGAATCCATCCTTCACCAACTGACCTTTGCGCTGCTTGAAAGTTCCTGTGATCTCTAGCTTCTCCTGCAGGAAGTATAAGGCAACAGTGAGAATAGAGTCAGGAATTAACCCTTCACTATTGCCCTGCCTGAGTAACAAAGCCAGTGAATGGTGCTTCCCCTACTGCCCTAGTGTGAGACAAATTAAGGAAACTGATGGATTCCCACCAAATGTTATTTGCCCATGGGGAAATCCATTGCATCACTTTCTTAATGTGTAGTGAGGCATGAATGAGCAAGTACTGGGGATCTTTAGAACAGCTGGTTTCACCACCTATTAGGTTGCCCATCTAACTGGTCACAGATATGGAGATGATCCTGCCTGTAAGTCAGGTTGTCTTTAAAAATTACTTAATACAGTAAACCCACATCTCAAAACAGCATGGCTATGTGGGAAGTCAGCCCCCCAGAGAAGGAAATATTAAAAGGGCAGAAAAATATACTTTCTCAAAGGATCTTAAAGAAGCAGAAAAGTATGCCCAGTTTCCCTTGATAGCCCCAGGTCTAGAAGCCAGCTCTGTACAAATCCAGATGTAAACCATCAGGAAGGTTGAAGCTAGGAGATTAAGAAGACAAAGACACCTAAAATCTGCATACCTCACCCAAACTCTAAGAGTCATTAGTCCCAGCACCAGGGAAGCAGGATATGATCTTTGGGACATAATAGGATTAACCTATCACCATCAGAATACCAGAAAAGCACACTCAGACTCAGGTCAAAGTTCATGCCACAGGAACAGGAAGCAACTCCAAACAAAAGGCTCCAGAAAGTATAAAAACCCACTCCCCACATGTGCTCAGCCCATTTTTCTCTCCTCTTTCCTGCCAGAACCATCTTTCTGTCTGGCTCTTCAATAAACTGCACCCTTCTTTCTAAAGCAGTTGCCATGTTGTTTATCCCCAGCTTGGACTGAACCCCAATGAAGACTTTTCTTCCAGCAGCTGATAGGACATTAGCATAGTATCCCCTGAGATAAGCAAAATGCCTTAGGAGTAGGAAAATAGTGATGTCCCCATAACTAGAAAATCAGTAAAGAATGCAACACACAAAGTCCTTCTCAGCATTAACTGTGCGAAACCTGTAATGTATTGGCTAATGTCAGATTGAGCAATGCAGTTGGCTCTCTTCCCTCTTTGAATGGAGTTTGGGCAGCACAGCATTAGATGCCTCTCACAAAAGTGTTAGACTTATTTTCAAATGTGGTATTAGTGATCTGTTGAAAAAACACCAACTCTGAACTCTGTACTCTCTTTCAGCCAAGGCCAGAATGGCCATGGAGGGCAATGCTCAGAAGGGGAGAAGCTATACCCATAACAACCTAAGGTGGCCCATAGAAGCTGGCAGATCTCAGTCTCTATGTGTCCTCAACCATTTTGTCAATGTTAGATCCTACGTGTCATAAACTAAAGAGTAACTAGGGCATTTTCATACTGGATTGCAGAAACATGAGGATGAATTCCATGTTTTCTTGCCACATTTGAGCTACAGCAGGCCAAGGCAGGTAATCTGAGCACAGAGAAATACTTATCTTTGATTATATCAGGAGTGCAAAATATGCAACTTTGTTTTTCCTTATCTTCTTACTCTTTGTCCAGTTTTTCTATCTGCTGTTTGCTCTTACTGTGTTTAGCAGGGCTTCCTCTTGCCTTCTTCAGTCTTCATTATGGGATACTGCCTTCCTTAACCTTCTCTATCCCCTCCCTGTATCTCCTCTGGCATCCCTTTGTGGTGCCTTCCGTGCCCCTTCCATCTCCTCCACTCCCCACAACCATCATCACATTGTCTTTTTCAACCTTTACCCAAGGCTTTTCCCATCTTCAGCTTCACCTCTGCCCAATGTTTCCCTCCTGCTTTCTCCAACCTCTCTAATTCATAACAGCCAGTCCTGTTCCTCTGTGCAGAAATATTGAATATGAGTATATAAAACTTTTCCCCTCCTTTTCAGATTTCAGATGAATTTATATACACTCTTTATTTTCATTATTCCCATTTTTTGTTCCTAGTTATACTTTTTAAAATCATCAATGTACTTCTACTCTTTAATAAAATGTAAGCGTTTTTAAAGCAAAACAATTGCATGCAAATACAAACTCAGTTGACAGCTTTCTTTCCTGGCAATGTAATTTACTCTAGTTATTTTATTGATCAAATCAAGCCTACTTTTTACTTCTTTTCTGTTTATATTCTGATTGGCAGCAGCATTTCTATTTCTATTATAATTTGTGATGCTGAAGTCTGGGGCTTTGAGTTATTTTTTCTAATGATTTCTTAGGCTGTGGAAGCAAGAGCCTAAATCAGGCGTTTCTCACCTGGATACGGATGAAGCGGGGTATGGCGTAGCTGGGCAGATAATCCTTGGTATGTATGAACAACTTCTTTCCATCAAAGGGGCACCCATCCTTCAGCCGCATGGCTGCCATCCCAATCTTTCCTTCATGCCCTGGAATAAAGCAGAATAATTGACAGTAAAGCTACATGTTTTCTGCAAAAAAGGAGTAAAACTGCTGGTTGCTGGTGCTAAGCAAAGCAGCTTTCATTCATTATTTACAATCTCACCAAAACGGCCTTATGCTCCTCACTTTATTTTGTGTCTCCATAAATTATCCTACTACTTCCCATATCACAAAATATCCATTTTTTAAAAAGTAACTAAAAAATAGTTACAGATAAGGGAAAATGCTGCAATTCTACTTGCAGTGCAAGGTAAATCTGCAAGATGGCACTAATTGAAAGAAAATATGGGACTCCTTACTCAATTCTATCTAACTTAGATTTTTCTACCCTCAGGCTACCCTACAGAAGTCAGATAGCTGATAGATTGCAGGTTGTCTTGGTTTATATTTTAATAAGAAAAAAAGACAATAATTAATTAATTAATTAATTAATAATGATTAAGTTTGATAATTTCATAATTAGTATATTAATTAATGATATATTTATTTGATCTTCCCTTCTCCCATTTATATTCTTCTTCTTCAACCTTAAACAAAATATAATTCTTAATATTTTCAATATATAAATGATTAGATATAGGCATTTTTTATATTTATACGGATGATAATAATCTCTATGTATGACATTTTTTCCAGCTTATATTATTCTTATAACCATCATCTCATTAGTTCACCATGCATCCTATTTTCATAATTTTTGTTTACACTTAATTTCCCTTATATTCAATCCAATTCTTATCAGTCATAATTTCTTCATATGTTAGTCATCTAACTGTCCAAATTTTCCCATTTAAATACATCATCCCAATATTTTATGTCATGCATTATAAAAATACTATACTTTTTATCTATCTTATAATATTTAGGTACAACATCCTTTTTAATCAGTTTATATTTCACTTATATTAATAAAAGTTACATCAACCTACTATTTTTACATTTCATATACAGTATTATAGGACATACTATATTACTTAAATCTCTTATCCCTCTTGTTATTGGGCCCCTTTATGTTCAAAATTCTCTATTATTTTAGCCATATTCAAACAAGTGTTTGTTCATGTAATAGTTCATCTGGTAAGGTGAGTCAAATCTCTTGTATCTATTTCTGATCTTCTTCTTTTGCTGAGTAGTTTTCCAAGTTGATGTGATCCGCTTACCCGGCGGTTCCTGTGTTTTTGCAAATGTTGTTGGGAATACAAAAGATGAAGTAAGTAAGATAAATACTTTCTGTCTCCCAAACTTTGATGTTTCTCCTGGAAGTTCTATAGTCCATTCCATTTTTCTTGTTGTATCAGAATCTTGTATATTTTTTCCTGTTTGTGTTAAATTGTAATTCTTTTCATTTGTTATTTCATCAATTTGGTAATATTCTTCTAATTTGTGGTCTGTTATCTGAGTTATTTGTTCATTCGTTGTTATTTCCTGGGTGTTTTTTAACTGTAGATTTAAATTAGAAATATGCTTATTTAAATCATCAAAGTTGTTTCAGATTTCCTCCTGGTTTATGTCTATTGTCATTTGTATTTGTCCTAACATTACATATATTTTCTCCTGGAAAGTATTTATCTTGCCTTGAAGTATTGCTTCTGGAGGCCCTTGATTTTCCAGGCTAAGTCCTTCAGGAGATAATATTGAATGTGGCGTCCTGTCATTTTTTCAAACGTATGTGATATCCATGTGGTCTCCCCCCTTCAAATAATCTTTCATCAATGTTTTAATTCAAGAATTTATCAATCAATCAAAATTACAGTTCAGTGTGTTAGGCCACTTTAAATCCTTCCAGTAGATTCTCCTCTAAAAGATTAGCCAAAGGCCAAAGTTTTTCTTTTCCATAAACAGTTCTTAGATTTAAACAACAGTCCAAGTGTTGTTGTTTTTTTTCCTTTCAGACACTTTTAATCTTATAGCTGGCTCTTCCTTTGTTCCCAGCTGTCTTCAAGGTTATTTGCAATTCAAAGGAACAGCTTTTTCTTTGTTTCTGGGCATTCTGCCAATTTCCAAGTTCTTATTGTTAGTATTCTATGCTCAGATTCTCCACTAGATGTCAGCAGTTATTTCTTTTTTCAATTTTTTTTTTTCAATCAAAAAGTTATTTTTGTTATATATTTTTATAATTCCATCAAAACTCTTTAGGGTATAATCTTGACAGTTTTTTAGTTCATAAATTTGTCTAGACTGAAGTATTTTAAATTGAATTTTAATCTACCTCTTTCCTCCTTAATATTAATTTGCCACTTCCGTCTATAAGGGAATGGGGATATAGTCCTCTCCCTTCACTTCCAGCAGTTTTCTTGCTTTGGGGCTCTTTCTCAAGGATTCAATTAGTAAATAGAAGAAAGAAGATCAATACTCTCACCAATTCCAAGCATGCTGTTCACTGATGTTCAGGTTCGTGCTCTTGGACTTCGCCTGCAAGTAGCTTTGGCTAGACGCTGATCTCACGCTAGCCTTTCTCCTGTCGGGTTCTGAGGGCTTTCCCCAGATCAAATGAAGCCACCGCCATTGCTTTTTTATCAATGGGGCACCCCTCCTTCATGGTCGCCTCTTCAGGGTGACTTTGGATCCATCTAGGGTCTCCCTGGCAGGACGAAACTACAGGTGCAAAACTGGAAGTCCTGCAGGTGGCTACTCTTGAAGACCACATGGAAGCTATAATTGATCCAAACTACACTCCTTGGTCTCATAGGTCCTGGAGCATGCCCCTCTTGCCAGATCTGGTGCATTGAGTAAAAGTAGTGAGAGAGAAAGGTTCTCTCAAATAACCTGGTCCTGTTTCATGTAGTGCTTGACTTTGCACCTTGAACTGAACCCACCTTGAACTGAACAAATGGGCAACCAATGTAGCTTGCAGATCAAAGGTGTAATGCGCACTGATCAGGGATTGCACATAACTGCCCGTGCAGCCACATTTTTCACTAGCTGAACCTTTTAGATACTTTTCATATAAAGCATGTTACGGTAATTCAAAACAAAGATGATTTTCTGAAGCTGCTGCATGACCAGCCTTCCTTAAAAAAGGAAGATTGGAGATTGGATAAAAATTGTCCAGAACAATTAGGTCTAACGATGCCTTTTTGAGGAAGGGTTGAACCATCACCTCTTTAAGGGAAGGAGAGACCACTCCTTATCTCAAGAAAAAAACATACATCTAACACCCCACCATATATCACATTATGGGAAAGTTTAGCCAACTCGGATGGACATGGATCTAATATAAGGTTCAGCTCACAGTCATGAGGACCCTGTCAATTCCTCAGGTACAACAGGATCAAACTGCCCTCACATTACTGGGCACAAGCCCTACTTGGCCTAGGACCTAATTATTGAGCCTCCTTGAAGGCATACTCCTGGTCCTTCCTTTAAATATTGTCACCTTATGGGCCCTTAGAAGTGTGCCTTTTCTGTTGCAGTTCCTGCCCTATGGAACACCCTCTTCCTAGAAGTCCAAATGGCTCCCACCCTGAGGTTGAGGAGGCATACAAATTAATAAGGTTAGGGTTAAGGTGAATTTATGATTCAGGATATTGCACAATCCCCCTAAATGGGTAAATCCAGTAACCAGATTAAGCATCTTCTGCAAATAAGATTTCTAAACGTGCATTGGAAACGGTGTGTAGAAATTTATATAGGTGTTTCAAACTCACCTGGCACTGGTACTCCATATACATTGACTTCCTCAGTGATATCCAAACTTGCCAATGTCATCTCAACCTCAGTAGTGGCCACGTTCTCCCCTTTCCAGCTGCCAAAACAGGAGGGCTTTATTTCTTACACAGCTTGATAGAACGTATTAATAATGTATTAGTTAGCATTTCAATATTCCTGTAGATGGCTTCACTCACAAGATCTCTTTCTGGCTTTAGGATCAGGGGAAAATATTTCCTAACTTATAGTAAGTACTAAGATAAACTCAAGAGGATGAGCCTGCTAGCAAAAATACAGAGAAAACCACACAATAGAGGAAGTTATTTACTATGGTTGCTCAGCCATACAAATGTTTGTGTGAATAAATGTCCATGGCTGACAGAAGGTCAAAAGAAAATGAGAGTGATAATTATTTTATTAAACATGTTCACAGAACAAACCATTCATTAATTATAATATAAGCATGGCTTAGGTCCACATGGAGCAGCGCAGCCAAGGACATGGCAGCCAGGCAGTGTAGACAAGACTCTGCCCTCCAGACTTGGTGCTATATATAGGGGGTGGTAGGTTTTTTGTTTTTTTTTTAAACACATTTTATTGGTTTTTTAACTTTTACAACGAGGTGCTCTAGAAACACCATGGTGATGGGGTAAACAATCACCCAAAAAAAAGTCATATATATTATATCCGAAATTTTTTGCCCATCTAATCATTGTGTCTTTAACAACCTCTTCCATTTTATATTTCAATAGGTATTTGTATATATTGCTAATTAATTTTATTTCTGTTCCATGTATAATTTTATCCAATTCTTGCAGCTCTTTTTGTAAAAGTATATTAAAAAACAGGAGACATATAAATCTGACTTAAACACATTTACAGGTGGTTAGTTAGAGAGACGGATAGAGAACAAGGTTAAGAACAAAACTTTTCAAATTTCCCTGATCATTTACTAATTCCTTGTATCTAATTATCTTATTTATATCCAGTAGGTTTGGGTGTTTCAGAGCTTCTGTTGGGGATAACCATGAGCTATTTAAAATCTTAAAAGACGATGCAGTAAAAGTGCTACACCAATTTGCCAGCAAATTTGGAAAACTCAACAGTGGGCACAGGATTGGAAACGGTCAGTTTACATTCCAATTCCAAAGAAAGGCAATGCCAAAGAATGTTCAAACTATCGCACCATTGCACTCATTTCACATGCAAGTAAATTATGCTTAAAATCCTGCAAGCTAGACTCCAGCAGTATGTGGATCAAGAACTTCCAGAAGAACTTCCAGTATGTGGATCAAGAACTTCCAGGATTTCGAAGAGGCAGAGGAACTAGAGATCAAATTGCCAACATACTGGATCATGGAGAAAGCTAGGGAGTTCCAGAAAAACATCTACTTCTGCTTCATTGACTATGCTAAGAGATGGGAGTACCAGACCATCTTATTTGTCTCTTGAGAAACCTATATGTGGGTCAAGAAGCAACAGTGAGAACTGGACATGGAACCAGTGATTGGTTCAAATTGAGTCCGGCAAGGCTGTATTCTGTCACCCTGCCTATTTAACTTATATGCAGAGCACATCATGAGAAAGGTAGGGCTAGATGAATCAAAAGTTGGAATTAAGATTGCTGGGAGAAATCAACAACCTAAGATATGCAGATGATACCACTCTAATGGCAGAAAATGAAGAGGAACTAAAGAGTCTCTTGATGCAGGTGAAGAAGGAGAGTGCAAAAGTTAGCTTGAAACTCAACATTAAGAAAACCAAGATCATGGCATACAGCCCTCTCAATTCCTGGCAAATAGATGGGGAACATATAGAGGTAATTACAGATTTTATCTTCCTGGGCTCCAAGATTACCGCAGATGGGGACTGCAGCAAAGAAATTAAAAGATGCTTGCTCCTGGGGAGGAAAGCTATGGCAAATCTAGACAGCATGCTAAAAAGTAGAGACATCACCCTGCCAACAAAAGTACATATAGTCAAGGCCATGGTTTTCCCAGTTGCAATATTTATTTATTTATTTATTTATTTATTGTTTATATTTATATCCCGCCCTTCTCCTTGCGGACTCAGGGCGGCTAACAACCAGATAAAAATGCAAATCCCAAAACTACAGATTAAAACATAATTAAAAACAAATATTAATAATTGGTCTAGTTAATTTAAAATTACTTTAAAACCCCCATTAAAAATTTTCCCCTAGGCCAGTCCTGCAAGCTGGAATAACC